CAGATTTACTATAAGAACTGGAAATCTCACAATAAATGAAGGCGGATTTATTAAAGGAGTCAAAGATTTTATCAATACATTGAGGCTGCTTTACTGAAAGGAGCTGGTAATCTTCACACAAATTAAGGATGATTTACTAAAAGGAGTCAAAGATCTCACAATAAATTGAGCCCGATATACTAAAAGAACTGGAAATCCCAGAAATGAAGGCGGATTTACTAAAGGAGTCAAAGACCTTCACACAATAAATGGAGCCTGATTTACTAAGGAAAACAATTGTTGGGGGTGAACAAGTCCTTAGTAAATCAGGCTCCATTTATTGTGTGAAGATCTTTGACTCCTTTAGTAAAGTTTGAAAATTATCTACTCCTTTCAGTAAATCGGCCTCAATGTATTGTTAAAATCTTCAACTCCTTTTAATAAATCAGCTTTAAATTGTGAGAGCTTCAATTCCTTTAGTAAATCGGGCTCAATTTTTGTGAAGATTTTCAAACTCCAACTCAATGTCTTATCAGATCTTCACTCCTTTAATAAAATCGGCCTGAATTTATTTAGAAATTTTCAACTCCTTTAGTAAATCGCGTTCAATTTATTGTGTGAAGCTTTTCAACTACTTCAGGGCTTGTTTTCTGTGTGCTCTGTTCACATCATACATCAGGGCTGGTGTGCAGAAAAATGCAGCTCAATTGGCATGGTGTAAACAAGCCCTAAAAAGTAGTTGAAAATCACCACACAATAAACTGAGGTTCATTTACTAAAGGAGTTGAAAATGTTCTCAATACTTTGAGGCTGGGGAATCTTATCACAATTCATTGATAATGGTTTATTAAATGAGCTGAAGATTACTACTTCAGTTATCCAATCATGTTAAAAACATCTGCACGTGAGATTCAGAGTGAACAGGAATTTGTCGTCAACATAATTGGATGGTAAGGTGAACAATCATACTTTTTTTCCCCATCAAATATTCTTCTTTTACAACTTTTTGCCCAAATGTATAAACTTGTTCCATTTGACTTTTCACACGTGTTAAGATTAGTAAATCAACCCCATTGCATGTGTGTCTAAAGGCATATAGACTGTGCACTTTGCAACTGCAGTTGTACTCATTTTGCCCAGAGCTTAAAAAAAAATGTTGATTTCTATCATCCAATCATGTGCAAGCAAAAAAAAAAAAAAAAAAAAAAAAAAAAAAAAAGGCAAATGAAAAAAATCACGAGGCACACCACCATTAGAAATGTTTTAAAAAAATTTACCTCTGTGCCTGTACCCTCTTGAATAGGGTATTCTTTCAAAAATGAATCTTTTTATAATTACATATTAATAAAGTATTTTATAATTGGACCCCCTTGAGTAATCCATAGTAAGGAAATTTTTAAGCATAGTAATTAATCCCCAATAGTAAATTCATCCCCCATAGCACCCCCCATTGCAAATAGTAATTCACCCCCCATAGCACAACATCCCCCATATTTGTTTTAGTAAATTAAGTCCCCAAGAGCCCCCCCCTGTGTCAATTCACTTACCTTTGCTCCGCGCGTGTTCCGGAGCAAATCTGTCTCCTATGAGGATCTGTCCCCCTCGACGATGCGCATGGGTTGGATTCTCCGGTAAAGATCATCCTGACAGTATCACGTCTGAAGTGTCCGCCGGGCCGTAAATTGCTGTTCTATGTCTTTTGTGACAGGCCACATTTACGGATGAAATTGCAATTTTTCCCGGAAAAAAGAAAAACGGCAACACTGTGTGCACAGTGGTTGAAAAACGCTTAGGGTAAATGAAAATCTTTTCCATAATAAAAAATTTAGACTGCACAAAGTCACAAACTTTTAGTAAATTAACCCCAATGTGGAGCAAGGAGGTGGTCAGTCTGATAAAATGTAGTCATTATCCAAAAAAAAAAAATGTATGTCAAATGAAAACCTAATAAAAATTTAGACTACAATCAAAACACCACTCAAGGTATTTGAATGGTATTTGAGGTGTGTTTTGTTTGGCATGTTACACCCTATGACCAGCTGGATTCAGATTTCCTCTGCAGTTCCCATTCTTTGACTTTTTTCTTTTAGGTGGCTATGACATTTACCACGCACACACACTACAATCTCATCATACACCTCTCTGAGTCTACCAACTATGTAGTGCAAAGGCCTGCCTGATACAAAATGGAAAGTATGTTTACGTAAGGAATATAAAAGAATTTCACTGTAAAAATGGCTGTACACATCAAGATTTATTTTTGTCCCTGCTGAATCGACTGTCATTTGTCCCATGGATGAATGGGATCTTCAGTGCAGGCAATTGTATTCCAACAGCAGGCACCTGCAGCTGTCAGAATACCTAGAACAGCGCCTGCATCTGACTGGATGTGGGCACTGTTCAGTCAAGTTTCCTGCCCTGCTCCCTCAATAAAAGTAGATTGAAAAAGCAACTTTTGTTGAGCTGGATGGTGAGGACAGAGCCACCCATACAATGGATTTCATCCATTTCACAAGGATGTGTGTATGGCCAGCCTAAGATAGTAACATAAGGTGAAATTAAAATAGCCAGGACTGTCAGACAGATTTTACCCATAGATGAGCTGCATTGATAGACTGCAAGGATGGGGAATGAAGGGGAATCTAACAAAACTGAAACAGCAACCAATCAGCTTCTAGCTTTCATTTTCAAAGCCTAGCTAAACAAGGTGAAGCCATGCACAGCTGCTCCAGGTCTGATAAATCCACGGAAGAGAGGGGGGGGAGGAGGAGGAGGAGGAGGGGTGGGAGGAGGAGGAGGGGAGGAGGAGGAGGAGGAGAGAGAGAGAGAGGGGGGGGAGAGAGAGAGAGAGAGAGAGGGGGGGGGAGGAGAGAGAGAGAGAGGGGGGGGAGGAGGAGAGAGAGAGAGGGGGGGGAGGAGAGAGAGGAGAGAGAGAGGGGGGGGGAGGAGGAAGGAGAGAGAGAGAGAGGAGGGGGGGGGGCGGGAGAGAGAGAGAGAGAGAGAGGGGGGAGGAGGGAGGAGAGAGGGAGGGGGGGAGAGAGAGAGAGAGAGAGAGAGAGAGAGAGGGGGGGGGGGGAAGGAGAGAGAGAGAGAGGGGGGGGAGGAGGAGAGAGAGAGAGGGGGGGGAGAGAGAGAGAGAGAGAGGAGGGGGGGGAGGAGAGAGAGAGAGAGAGGGGGGGAGGAGGAGAGAGAGAGAGAGGGGGGGGGGAGGAGAGAGAGGAGAGAGAGGGGGGGGAGGGAGAGAGAGAGAGAGAGGGGGGGGAGGAGGAGAGAGAGAGAGAGGGGGGGAGGAGAGAGAGAGAGAGAGGGGGGGGAGGAGAGAGAGAGAGAGGGGGGGAGGAGAGAGAGAGAGAGAGGGGGGGGAGGATCGAGAGGAGAGAGAGAGAGAGGGGGGGAGGGAGAGAGAGAGAGGGGGGGGGGGAGGAGGAGAGAGAGAGGGAGGAGGGGAGGGAGAGAGAGGGAGGGGAGGGGGGGGGAGAGGGGAGAGGAGAGAGAGAGAGGGGGGGGAGGAGAGAGAGAGAAGAGAGGAGGAGAGAGAGAGGGGGGGGAGGAGAGAGAGAGAGAGAGGGGGGGGTGGGGGGAGGGGAGAGATGAGAGAGTCTGAGGTGGGGGGAGAGAGAGAGCTGTTTCTGTGCTCTGGGGGAGAGTGAGAGGGGGGAGTGGAGAGAGAGAGAGGGGGGAGGAGAGAGAGAGAGGAGGGGGGAGAGAGAGAGAGGGGAGAGAGAGAGGGGGGGAGAGAGAGAGGGGGAGAGAGAGGGGGGGGGAGAGAGAGGGGGGGAGAGAGAGCGGGGGGAGAGAGGGGAGGAGGGGGGGAGGAGAGATGGGGGGGAGAGAGAGGGGGGGAGAGGTTGGTGAGGGGGGGGGTAGAGGAGGAGAGGGGGGGGGAGAGGGGGGAGAGAGAGAGATTTTGTTCTGAGAAAAAAAGCATAACTGACACGAACATTATTTCAACAATCTCTTTATTGAAGTACACAGATCCAAAAGAAATGTACAATGCAAGAAAATCCAACTAAAACATACATAGAAAATTTAAAGTAAAACAAAAAGACCAGCAGCACCTATCCAGGCAGAACAGTACATATATAGTACTATATGGCATCTCACACAGCGATTCACATTGTAGTCAGATGTCCTGACCAGGCATAAAGTGCATACAGTCTTGCTGAAAAGTGTGGATGGATAACATGGAGCTGAGACTTACAGATAAATTGCTCCCAGCATACAGAAAGAAAAAAAAAAAAAAAAAAAAGTTTTACAGACTAACATTACTTTTTCAAACATAATACTTGTTTAATAAGGCAGGAAAGCAATAATCGGACGTAACCAATCATCTTTCATTATTTTCTCTGCTCCCAAAGGATGAAAGTTACTATAAAGCACAGTGTAGTAAAATGTACCAGTGTGTCATTAAGTAACAACCTATACCTATCAAATAAATATACATATGTTGCACATATACAGTAATCATCTCACTTAGGTCTAAACAGGAAAAAAACTAAACAAAAACACACACACAAAAGAACTTAAAGTTGAAATAAATGACTCATCTACATCTATTTTATTGAAAATATCTAAATATTCTACATTTAAATAAAATATACATGGGTGTTGTCAGTAAAAATGAAAAAAAAGTAACATATCCTATTTCCTGTACAATATTAAATATTGCAATACCATTTATCTGAAAAACTAGTATCCATCTTTCCTCTTCCAGAGAAATGGACTGGTTTACATATTTCAAGCTTTGGTTCCCTTTAAGGCATTGTGGAGTAATATTGTATGTGCTTTAAAACAAAGACCCTTACTTCATAAGGCAAACATTTAGGTACAATCGAAATGATTTTTCTGTACTCTTAATGGCAGATGAATTCATGAATTGCTATGAGTTTCTACAAAAATCAATAAATGCGCTACCCTAGTCTATACACTTGCTAATATTGCCTTCTTAATAAACCTATGACAACAGTTCAGTAGTGAACTAAAGAATTGCACATCCGGATCTGTACAGGAGGGGAACAGGTCTACTTTGAAGGTGATGGAGCCAAGGCAGTTGTCCATGCCTCTCCTTGTTCTGCACTGGGTTTGCAGCCTCGTAGAAGACTGGCATCATTTGGGTATGCGAGCACAGATGAACTGTTGGGAGATAAATGCAAAAAATAAATAAAATATCTATAATATATATTAAAATATAAAATGTTATTCTGAGTGTTTATGGTTTACAAGTAAGAATTTTTACGTGAATCTGGAGATTTGGTAAGGTTCGCCCTGTGGTGGCTTTCACCTGACAATTCACAAAATCATTTTTGCCAACTACTGCACCTTTAACAACCTAGACATCATACTGTATTTAATGAGCCTAGTGGTTTATCCACATACTTCTAAGCCTTGGTTCACATTATATATGGGCGCACACATTACGGATGCACACATCCGCGAGGGGGATGGGGAGTCGTAGTCTCCTTTTAAAAATCATGCTGCACCGACTCACATGGTAGTGCAGCACCATGCAATTGGGCGCATGCAAAACATACCACACCATGTTTTCTTCTGCAAGGAAGTGCCATTAACCACTTGACCTCCAGAAGATTTACCCCCCAGGTCATTCTTTGTGATATGGCGCTGCAGTACTTTAACTGACACTTCCACGGGCATGCAACACTGTACATAAATTAAATTTGTGTAAATTTTTTCCCTACAGAGCTTTCTTTTAGTGGTATTTGATGCCCTCTGGGGTTTTTTTTTTTTTATTTTTGCACCATAAAATGAACTGACATTTTTTTTACTTTCTGCTATGAAAAACGTCCATAAATTTTTTTTTCTCCTTCAAATCAAGGCTTAAAAATGTATTCTGCTACATATTCCCAAGAAGCGTATATTGATTGGTTTGTGCAAAATGGCGAAACACACATTGAATCACACACACACACCAACCAAATGGCGACACACACACACACACACACACACACCACACACACACACACAACACACACACACACACACACACACACACACACACACACACACACACACACACACACACACACACTTTATTCCCCTGACTAAAATCTAGCAGATTGCCATTCACATAACACAGCTCTGCCTTGTTTACATAGGCAGAGCCATGCGCTCTCATCTCCTTGGCGTTCAACAGGTGCCAGCGCTCATCCATTGACCGGCACCCGTTTGACTTCTGCCATGTTCAATCAATGTGTCCCCCCCCCTACAGAATGCCTACCCTGTAGCAGTAAATCTGCTATATGCCATATGATAAGTGATTTAAGAAGAAAAAAAAAATACTGACACCCCCACACATCTGCTAAAGAGCAGTGGGTTTTGCTTGCACAAATGTTAACCTGGGTAAGATGAAGAGCAGTAAAATATAACCAGTGTGCTGCATTACTAAACAGGAAGCACACAGCATGTGGATGAAATTAGAGAAATGCCTGGCGTGGTGAGATTTAAACTTTGTCCATAATAAAAAAAAAAAACAAAAAAAAAAAAAAAAATGTATATAATGTAAAATAAGCCCATGTGGTATAATCAGGATTTGAGAAGTGAGGAGGGTGTGCAGTAAAGGAGGGGATGAGTAGGGGGATGGGGAGAAGGAAATTGGTTTTCACAACACACTCAAAGCCTGAGTAGCAGAGGAGAACTTTAATTATCTCCAGTCAGAAAGAGAGACAGGAAATTTGGACTTTTAATTAGCCATTTGGAGTGTGGTTAGATTTTTTTTTTTTTTTTTTAAACCAGATAATTTAAACGCGAATAATTCAAGTCTGACTAAATGAAATTCACATAATCAGAATGCAGATAATTGAATTTCTACTGCATCCATTAATTCAGTGTGGAGGTGTGTGAGGCCTCTTATGAGAAGCCTGTCACAGCTCAATAAAATCTCAGTCAATTAATTTTTTCATTATCGAAGTATTATACCAACAACAGAAAATAAACGGGACTACCACACATGAAAAGTACCTCTCAGGAGTCACGTTACAACTTGTTTGTTCTTCCTCCTCTTCAGGAAAACCGCCGGTTTGATTTGGCAAATTTGTGGATAGCTTCAGCCACCGAGTATGTGGTCTGGCGGATACACAGGCTTCCATTTCCTCTGGAGTGAGCTGAGTTTGTAAGAAAAGGTGAAGTCGGCTGTCTGAGAGTAATAGCGGGCACTGTACCACCCTGAAAAGGAAAGAGAGAAAGAAATTACTTCTAAAGGCCGTTTATGTCACATGGTTTCAGTTAAGCATTAGAATAATTAGAAAGTCCATAAATCTCACTTAAAAAGGAGGTCATCAAAAACAGATTTGCCTTTGTGGTGCTCTTCTGGAGTGGTCTTCACTCACTGCCAAAAAGGTAAGATGTCGATGGGATGGGGACAGAGCTCTGGATCGCAGTAAAAGCCCAACAAGGGTTCTAAACCTTCCCCCCACTGTACCAAAACCCTAGAACTACAGCCAGCGATTTGTTTTCTAGTTTTTGAAACTGTGGGGAAAGGTTAGAACCTTTGTACAACGTTTTGCATTGCTTTCTATGTTCCCACTGAGGAGATCTAACCTAACTAATGAAAGGAAATAGAATTGTACAGCTGTTACCAGATCAGGAGTAGGTGGGAAATACTCCAGTAGGGATTACATGTGATCGGTGATAAAATGTCAAAAGTTGGGATTTACCCTCATTTGTGGTAACTTCCACTTCCTGTTGAGCACAGGAAGTGCATGAAAAACCTGCCCACTGGGGACACAGACAGCAATAAAAACCTGACAGAAGTTATGTTTTCACTCTTCCCAGTCTATTCAAACCATGCCAATTTTATATATTTCTCTGGGACTGTGCTGGTGAGATATTAGCATGAGAGTTCCTGATCTTGCACAACTGCTGTAGGCATCTTGAGGTTCCTACCTGCTGAGTTTTTAGTACAGCTGGATTCACACTTCGATGCTTGCATTGCAGTAATTTTTTTTAATCACTCTTTATGATGCATTGAACACACTATTAAAAACAATGGGAACCCTCTGCACATGCATTAAAGCACCTTAAAACATAATACAGAAAACATGGAGCCCAGGTACAATGAAAGTGGTGCAGGTCAAGCCCCAATTTGTGCCCATTGGACTTTGAAGAAGCTGCACCGAACAACGGATCAAAAAAAGTTCTAAGAAAACCCTGATTTTTATCAACATGCAAATTTGAAATTAACGCCATAATAAAATACCATGAGACATATCAGAACATGGATAGTTACAGGATAACATATACACATATCAAACTAGACTGTTTCATGAAATGCTTAGTGTAAGGATATCAACTATGTTCACTTCCTCAGGAGATAGTGATGTTTCATCAGATATTTGTGAAGAAGCAATGTCAAAAATAAAAAATATATATTATATTACCATCAATACATATAATTAAAGAACAAAAACACAAGTGTCACAATATAAGTAACCAGTCATGGAACCAGGTTCTTCAGCTTATGATGAAAACAAAATCCATAAGATGAGGACTCCTTAATACCAGTCAATATATGAAAGGTGGCCAGCAACCCCAGAGATATATGCAGGTGATTTTATATGCAAATCTTGACTTTGATAGCTCAACCACCTCTATTTCTAGCCTTCCCTTTGGTTCCCTAATGCGATGAGCTTGGCCCTGACCGGTCCAAGTCTTCCGTCTTCCAATTGTTTTTGAAGATACCATCTGCTTTTGCCATTTACCTTTGTGCTAAATTTTGTGACAAGTTTATTTTAGAATATAAAATGTATGTCACCTAGAGTTCTGCTTTACAAATAATTTAAAACATGCAATAAAAGCCTTTCTCAAAACAGTCTTCGCTTTATTCTGGTTATATGCATTAGGTATTAAAGGACACTTCCATGACAGAAGATGTAGCCTCTTCATCCTGAGGTGTCACAAGTCCAACCTGTTCTCCCAGTTTTGTGCCTCTCAGCTCTCATTCCTCAGCATCATGCTGCCTATGGTCTCCGTGTAGATCTGGTCAATACACTACAGTTACAAATGACTGTAAATGATGTTTGCGCTGTAATGGTTCTCTTAAGACACCAAGGGCCATATTTATCATGTAAATTTATACGAAAGCAAATTATCGTAGCAGTAGAGGTTTCTGGTGAATAATACTTCTGTCATCTTAACTACAATGTAATCTATATATCTTTCAAATAAATATCTGGTGTGCCACATAACAAACAGTCTCTTTAAAAACAAGTATGGGCAAAGCCTGGACTAAATCATTATAACAGCCATGTGTGCCAATGAATCAGAAGCAGGACAGGAAGAATTTGGAGTCTGGAGAGTTGGCAGTAAACAACGCGTGGAGAACGAAAGAAAGATCATTTACTGGCCACCAAAGAGTTTCTACAGCAATGCCCAAGATGCAAATAATAAAACAGGATATACAGCCAGAACTCAGCGTGGCAAGCTGAACTTAGAAAAGACAATTCATAAAACGCATAACCAGCAAATAAAAACAAGATGGATTTGTGAATCAACAGCCAAAAAAAAAAAAAAAAAACGCCAGAAACAAACGCATGAGCTAAACATCACGCATTATTTTAACTGCCGATAAACTCAGTGGTTGGTACTGGTTGAATGTGGGTATTAAAGTGATCGTACACTTCCTTGTAGTACCATGATGATCGTGCGGAGCTGCAATTCCAGGTCACGTGACCAAATGCCACAGTGGCAGACTGGAGCACGATCATCAATAAAGTGAATAAAGACTACTAAGGTCAGCCTCCACAGTACTACATGCAGTGTCTTCTATTGACACGTTTAGGTCACAAAACAAAGTTAGGGCCTGTATCCATGAGCTTTTATTCAGGTCAGAATAGTTTCTCTCCTCATACATGTCCATAAGGATGCAAAAAACAGTACCAGTCAAAAAATAGGAATGATCTCAGAAGGGTCCCAAAGCAAAAAAGCATGTTGCATTTTACCATAAGGACAAGCCCATAGTCCATCGATACAGATCCTTACGCACACTCAAAGGCAATTTGCCCTATCCTAATGACACCATAATGTATAAAGTTGGCCAAACTCTTACAAACGTGGATTAAGTTCCCAAAAAAAAAAAAAAAAAAAAAAAAAAAAACACAAACACCACACACACACACACACACACACACACACACACACACACACACACACACACACACACACACACACACACACACTTCAATGACATCTTCAACAAAAAATAGTGCGAAGCCTCTAGTGGAACCTGTCACATTCAGACTTTATCCTGAAAATTGTTTTGCAGCAAAGTAAAAAATGTGTTGGGCTTTACCATAAGTGACCAGTCCATGAACCCACTATGAAGCCCACAAGAGAATTACTGCTTTTTTTGCATGCCATTTTTTGGCTTGCAAACAATGACAGCTCATTTGTTAAGGCAATTAAAAAAAAAAAAAAAAAACAAAGAAAAAAAAAAAACATCTACAGATGTGCAAATTCTCCACTCACTCAGACATTTAAAAGGCCAAACAGGTAATTCTCTGATGTCTGTAGCACCTAAAATGAGCCTGTACCCTGCTCCCTGCATATGTGAAAAGATTTACAAATTCATAACAAGCAGCAAAATCACTTTGAGAAATTAATTTCTCCACAATGCTTATAAATACAGATGTGAATTTGGGGTTTTGTTTTTTAAAAGTTCACAAAACAGACAATGAAATCTTTGCCTTTTTAGCCGAGAACAGAATACCGGCAGCTCTCCAAAGTTGCTGTGGAACTCCAGGAATTACCTTTTTCCATATTCACATCAAGCCATGCTAGAACAATACAAACATCCTTGGCAACTCTCCTGATATCCTATATGGATACATGCAAATTACTGAAGTCTACACTACATACAGTGATCATGAACATCAAGGTGGTGCACCAGCAGCTTCCCCTCTGCACACAGGGGCTTGTTCACCCCCTCAAATACTCCACCATTCAGAAATTGCCCTGCATTTTATTTTTTCAATAAACACAGGGCGTTCTCTGACTAAACAAGTTAGAGAGGAGGGGTGGATGACCTATGGATGAGATGGAGATCCAGATAACACCTTGTATTCACTGGAAAAATATCAATAAATAAAAAAAATAATCTATCTATCTATCTATCTATCTATCTATCTATCTATCTACACACACATCACACACACACACACAACACACACACACACACCCACACACATACGTACACACATACATATATCTGTGAGCCCGTGTTGAGATCTTTGAGAATGAATAAATGCACATTTAGGGCTTGTTCTCACCATTTGCAGTGACCTGCATATTTCCGCGCTGAATAAAAACACAGGTCACTGCCAGGGAACATAGAATACAATCCATCCTATACACCTTGGGTCACCATTGTTTTCAGGACAAAAGTGAGCAAAATCCAAAAATGGATTTGTCACCAATAAAGGACCAGAAGGGATTCTCCCAATGGGTCCATTTGAAAGATTTCCCTAACTCTGGAGAGATTACTTCTCTTGATCCCGGTTGTATCCGAAAATTGCCCCATTCTTGTCAATGCACCCTCTGCCATCACATTGGGATGTTCCTCGTCTGTCCTTTGTTTTTGAATGGATTATTAACCTGGCCATAGTTGGATTGAATCACGACTGGTTCAGCAGGGATTGTACGAGATTCGATCCATTTACAGGCAGGCTGGTTGTACTGAAGTTGATCCGTTGGATGACTTCACTACAAAAAATTTTGACAGGCTAATTGTACTGATTATTGCGTTCTGCTGGCAGGGAAGGCTCCCCACTGGCAAAACACAATAAAACTGCAGGTTTTTTTTTTTCCCTGCATCCCATGGAAAATTGCTCACTTCCCCCAGCAACACAGTTGGTGTTGATGGGGGAAGCAAGCAAGCAATTTTCCATGGGTTGCAGAAAAGAAAAAAAAAAAAAAAAAAAAAAAAAAAAAACACTATAATGTATGGCCTGCGGGTGGGTGAGGGTAAGCCTGTCCCTGCAACCTTTATTTTTAATAGCCTTTATTTCTTGGAACCTTGATTTATTTTCTGCAAAAAAAATTATTTTTCGTTCCGCTTTAGAGGTTAACCTCATGTTTAGCTTTAGATTTTTTTTTTTGTTTTTTTTTTAAATATAAAACATGTTCTTCCTTTAGTACTCTTATCGCCAAGACCACATTTTGATGTCTTC